AGAAATTGGTTCAGTGCTGGCAGGCACATGTGGCCAGATGACAAACGTGTCATCCGCGTATCTCTTCCACAAGGAAGAACGTAGGGTGGATGTCTGGATGGAATTTGTCCCAAATTTCTCCATAAAAACATTCGCTACCACTGGCGATAAGGGAGAACCCATTGGGGTACGCCGTCGAGCATATACACGGTGTGTGTGCCGGCAGGGCGGAGGAACTGGGACAAGGGTCATGGAAGACCTCATAGGGGGGAGGCCCCTGGAACCCTCTGGTGGGTTCGAGAAGAGAGGCGCGGCCAGTGCAGAGGCGTGGCAGAGCCATGGCAGAGTTGGGGCGGAGCCAGGGTGGAGTGAGGGCGGAGCGAGGGTGGAGCCAGGCCGCGCCGAATAAGATAAAAGCAGTGAAGAGCGAGAGCTCCAGGCTGTCGGTTCTGGGAGTGGACTCGTCTCGTCGTCACTGTCGTCGCCTTCGCCGCTGCTGCCTTTGCATGATAATGGCGCGGCCGGACAGCGGTTGGCTGTCTCGGTCGACGCCGTCGGTGCAACGCGGTTAGGGGCGCTGTACGGCTACGGGAGGTAAGGAGGCGAGCGCTGCGTGTGAACCGCGAAAGAGTGTTACAATAAAGAAGGTGCCTCCTGCAACTACCTCGTCTCCGACTTGTGCTACACTACACATACATGCAGCGGGTGTTGTCGATCAAATGAACAGATGTGGGAGGGAACGCGGAACACCTGGAGCAAGCCCACGAGTGCGAGGAGGAAGCGCTCGATTTCACTCCAGACATTTGAGTCCACTGTTTTGTTTGGTATCGCTGTTCCTGCTTTCTCCTGGCGAAGCCTCCCCGGGGGTTTTCTGCTCCCTCCTCCTCCCCTCATCCTCCGCCCTCTTCCTCCCTCCTCCTCCCCCTCCTCATCCTCCCTCCTTCTCCCTACTCCTCCTCTCTCCTCCTCCTCCCTCCTCCTTCTCTCCCTACCTCCCTTCCTCCTTCTTCCTCCTCCCTCCGTCCTCCTTCCTCCCCCTCCTCCCTCCTCCTCTACCTACCTACCTCCCTCCTCATCCTCCCTCCTCCTCCCTCCTCGCCCTCCTCCTCCCATCCACAACCCTACCCTCCACCTGCTCCCACCTCTCCTCCTTGCACCTCACACTACTCACTCCTCACTCCCCTCTTCCTGGTCTCTTTTCACTCCTCCACCTGCTCCGAACCCTCACCTCTCTCCTCTTCATCCTTCCTCCTCCTCCTTCCCCCCTCCATCCTCCTCCCTCCCCTCCTCCCTCCTCGACACCCACGCCGTGGGGGAAAGCAAAGGGGGTGGGGGGAGTTCACCACCATCATCTCTGCACGTGATCCACCAGCCCTAGCCACTCGCACTCCAACCGCGGTGCTAGAATCGCTAACGGGGGGGGGGGCGGTGCGGCCCCCCGTGGCCAGACACCACGGGGGGGGGGGGGAGGTGTTTGACGGTGATGGTTGCTACATCGCCAATTAAAGCGGAATTCGCGGCCCATGGGTCGATATTGTGCGGCGTGATCCCAGGAACCATGGCAGAGCCATTTAATAATAGCGGAGGGATGGAGGCGTTGGAGGGGGGGGGGGGTCCGGGGGTAGTGGAGGGAGTGAGAGGAGGAGGAGGGGGTGGAGGGGGTGGTCATGAAGGCATGGGGAGGTTAATGTGCCGTGCAAATGTTTCTATGAAGGGCAGCTTTTTTTAGAGGATCACTCTCTCTTTCTCTCTGTGCATGGGCAGCAACACTTTGGGTGGGTTACCACCTCCTGCAATGCGAAAAACCGGGACGTTTGCGTTTTCAGAGCGAGGAGATAATGTCATCGTAGCGAAATAAAATGAACTATTTCAAATATTTCCTTTTTATTTTACAAGGCAAGGGCCACATGAGCTATGTCGCTCTTTTTTAACAGAAGCGACCTGGCCACAAATGATAGCCCACGGGATTGTCTCATCGTGTGGAAATTTATAGCAGCCAAATACTATAAACGCGTATTGCTAAATGTGGAGAGAAAAATCCGGAGGATCCGGAGAAAAATTCCACGCGAACACGGGGAGAGAGAGGCATGCAAACTCCAAATATACAGCAGCAGGCGTCAGGGTTGGGATCAAACCCACGGCCTCTTGTATACCAGGCGAGGTAGTTAACATCTCCTAGCCACCGTGATAATGATGAGAGAGAGAAACACGCAAACTCCAAATATACAGCAGCAGGCGTCAGGGTCGGGATTGAACCCACGACCTCCTGTACACCAGGCGAGGTAGTTAACATCTCCTAGCCACCGTGGCGCCCCACACACGGCCACTCCGTGACAACCCACGCGTGCGACGTACAGACACGAAGCATGATCCCCCCATCGACGGATCAAGTGGAATCCGCATTGTTGCTGGGACATCCATAGTTAACACCGTGTCACCCCAATAGGATGGATCTGCATGCACGTGTGAGTATTAGAAAAACTAAATTGGAAACCCATATTTTGGGGGGTAACATTTATTTATTATAACATGTTGACATTGGATGCCATCAACATCAGCTCCCCGCCACCAACTCTAAGTTCCCGCGGATCGAATCTTTTCTGGAATGGGTAGTGTTAGTATATGGGTAGTGTTAGAATATGGGTAGTGTTAGTATATGGGTAGTGTTAGTATATGGGTAGTGTTAGTCTATGGGTAGTGTTGAGTCTATGGGCAGTGTTGAGTCTATGGACAGTGTTGAGTCTATGGGCAGTGTTGAGTCTATGGGTAGTGTGTAGTCTATGGGTAGTGTTGAGTCTATGGGCAGTGTTGAGTCTATGGGCAGCTGGTGGTGGTGCTGGCGGTGGTGCTGGTGGCGATGCTGGTGGTGGTGCTGGTAGTGCTACTGCTGGTGGTGGTGCTGGTGGCGATGCTGGTGGTGGTGCTGCTACTGCTGGTGGTGGTGCTGGTGGTGCTGGTGGTGGTGCTGGTGGTGGTTCTGGTCGTGGTGCTGGTGCTGGTGGTGGTGCTGGTGGCGATGCTGGTGGTGGTGCTGGTGGTGCTACTGCTGGTGGTGGTGCTGGTGGTGCTGCTGGTGGTGCTGGTGGTGGTGCTGGTGGTGGTGCTGCTGGTGGTGCTGGTGGTGGTGCTGGTGGTGGTGCTGGTAGTGTTGGTGCTGGTGGTGGTGCTGGTGGTGCTGGTGGTGCTGCTGCTAGTGGTGCTGGTGGTGGTGCTGGTGGTGGTGCTGGTGGTGCTAGTGGTGCTGGTGGTGGTGGTGGTGGTGCTGGTGGTGCTGCTGCTAGTGGTGCTGGTGGTGGTGCTGGTGGTGCTGGTGGTGCTGCTGGTGGTGCTGCTGGTGCTAGTGGTGCTGGTGGTGGTGCTGCTGCTGGTGCTGCTGGTGGTGCTGGTGGTGCTGGTGGTGCTGGTGCTGGTGCTGGTGGTGCTGGTGCTGGTGGTGCTGGTGCTGGTGCTGGTGGTGCTGGTGGTGCTGGTGCTGGTGGTGGTGCTGGTGCTGGTGGTGGTGCTGATGGTGCTGGTGCTGGTGGTGCTGGTGGTGCTGGTGGTGGTGCTGGTGGTGCTGGTGGTGGTGGTGGTGCTGGTGGTGCTGGTGCTGGTGGTGGTTCTGGTGGTGCTGGTGCTGGTGGTGGTGCTGGTGGTGCTGGTGGTGGTGGTGGTGCTGGTGGTGCTGCTGGTGCTGCTGGGGATCCTCGACGTGAAGAGCGGTGGCAGAGCGGTTGGCGCCGCGCCGCGAACCCGGCGGTGCAGGGCCTCCCCTAGGTCGACTCAGCTTCGAATGAGTACCTGCCGTGGTGTGTAAACTTCGCCAGTGGGGAGACAAAGGCGGCCGGGCGAGTGCCGTGCCGGCCTTCATAGGCGCTACTCGCTCACAGCACTTGCCCCGACAGTCTGTTGAGGCTATACGGGTGATCTTTGTGTTTGGGGGGCACAGGTGGTGGCACCGGCCAGCCATCTCAGCCAGTCAACCCATGGCACCTGCTGGGCCTGTCCCGTGACCTCCTAGCGGCGGGCGTTCGACACTTGGCCTCGGAGTGCACCTAGCCTGGCACAAGCGACGCGCCGTGGCGTCATCGCCACTTGGTGGCGAATGTTGTTGTTCTATTTCCGTAGCTGTCAACCCCTTATCAGCGCCCCTACCTCATTACAGACCGATTCAGATCGTATTGATCACCCCGTGCCCCTTATAAACATCAACGTTCATTCCACAAAGTCCCCTCGCAAGGGAGAAACACAAACACATAAGGGCCGTCCATAAATGACGTCACGCGATTTTGGACGATTTTTGACCCCCCCCCCCCTTCGTCACACGACGTCACAAAAAGTCAGACCCCCCCACTCTCAAATATGACGTCACAAAGCTCTGCCCCCCCCCCCCCAAATAAAACATGCTTCAAATCGCTTTAAACTATTGTCATTGTAGTGCGTATTTAATGTGGCGCTGCACTCTGATGTTGTAGGAGAAAACATTTATTAAAAAGTCTATTTAATTAAGTAGAACGTGTTGTCTATATTGATTTAAAGTTGCGCATTTTGATGTGACGTCACATTTCTCAACCCCCCCCACTCGTCACACATCGTCACAAATGTCTGACCCCCCCCCCCTAGGTGCGTGACGTCATTTATGGACGGCCCCATAGACACAAATTATGTTATTAAACACAAACAGTTTTACGTATTAATTTAGATAATTGGTGTCAATGGTGCTACTTATCATGCTACTGTCTGTGATCTTGCATGCTGATGCTGATGCTGCTTGCTTGATATGTGAATGCACACACTCACAAACCTGTCAACCCCTTATCAGAGCCCCTACCTTATTACAGACCGATTAAGACACCTTATTGATCACCCAGTGACCCTTACAAATATCAACGTTCATCCTTCAAAGTCGCATCGCAAGGAGAGAAACACAAACGTAAATTAATTTTGGACCTGCAAACTCAATCCCCTCTGCACAGGAAGACGGAGCAAACCGCGTGGAGGCCGATCCGCTGGGCCGAGAAAAAATCCACAAAGTTGCGACGGAAAAACCCAACCAATGTATTGCAAAGCAATGACATCGACGACGACGACAACGACGACGGCAATAATAATGTTACACGTAATTATTATCAATAACAATAATAAACGACGATATTTTTTTTTTTAAAGATGCAAATTTACAATTGAAAAAATACTTCCAAATTTTTCAACACGACTTTGTGTTAGCACCATCAACGGATAACTATGGCACACAAATAAACTGCATAGCGTTGGGTGGGGGGGAGGGCAGCACCATGGTATCTGTAACACGAAGTAAATAGTCGACCAAATTGTCGAATGAATTGTCGACCGAATAGTCGACCGAAGAGTCGACCGAATAGTCGATCGAATAGTCGAACGAACTGTGGACCAAAACAGCCGACCAGTGCGCAAGAGATACACGTGACCAGGACAGACAAGCAGACAATGTCCCCTCTACAGAATTACATTGTTTTTTTAAAGTATCGTCTCAAAAACCACGACCCAAACTCTCCTGCCGCCGCCGGCGCGGGTAGCACGGGCGCTCGACGGCACTGGCTACCGCACGCAGCGATCTTCATCGTGGGCAGGTTGAGATGAATGAATGCGACGACGACGGTGGTGGTGGTGGTGGCGGTGGCTACAATGCTGCACGTGGCTGCTGCCGGCTGACTGTAAAGTTAACAGCACCGTGGCCGTGCGGAGGTTAACAACAGCGGCAGCGGCGGCGGCGAGGGTTGATGAATCACCACACGCAGATGTTGCGTAACCCCGTTTGGGTGGCAAGCAAGGCGGTAGCCGGAAACATTTGGGGCGCCATCCGTGGGGGACAGTGTTTGACACCCCAGTCGCATTGCGCCGTGGGGTCTCCCTTTGTCGGGCGCTCCGCTTTCCTGCCAGGTATAAACCGCTCAATTGGCCTGGGAATATCTTTGCCATATATAGATAGGGGACGGCAGAGCTTGGGCGATTGATCGGGGCCAGCGCTCGCCCCGCGTGCCTTCCGCTGCCTTCCCGCTCCACCCGCTCGCGTCGTTCCCCTCTCTACGCGAGAGCGGGAATCCGGATGCGAGGTACCGCCCCCCCCCTCCCCCGTTGTCTCATGTCTGTCTGCTCATCTGACTCCGTCACGTGCTGCTTTGCGAGCCGCCCATCCTGTGAGGTTGGCACAGCAACCGTGCCAACCGTTGGGGGGCGGGGGTGGACGCTGGCACGCGGTTGGCACCTTTGGGTCAACATTGGCCTGACGACGCAAGAGTCACGGTCGCGTGCGGAAGGCCCCGCGCCCGATTGGTCGGAGCGGAGGTCACGTGATCACGGGGTTGTGACGGCCGCCATTTTTTTAAAATTTTGGTTTAAGGGCTTTAAACCAAAAGACGTCCCTGCGTGTGAAATGAACTTTGGAAATTGTGAATTGTGTATCGAAATTTTTTCTCGGCGGGTCCCGAGATAATAAAAAAAAAGTCGACATCTTTTTCAAGATTTTCTTCAGGCGCCTGGGATTTTTCTTCGGCGGGTTGAGACGACGGTTACCGAGACAGTAGTGGTAGTCCTGGCAACAACGACGACGACGATGAGGGCGATTTCGCAAATTCAAGTGTCTTCTCAAACAAGTCGGGATGGGTCGCAGTAAAGTGACCTCCAAAAAAAAAAGGTGTTTTTAAGAAAGAATCGTAAGGTCCATTACCATTGACAGGAACAAACATCAACAGCAATAACAATAACGCCGACAAATAATAATAATAATAATGGAGGATATTAACAACAAAAAACAACCTTGTAAAAATAAAATAATTGACCTGGCCTCGCACCTGCACACAGGTACGAACAACATTTTACTTTAATCATTCAAATCATATCTCGACTTTAAAATTCCTTCGCTGTGGTTTATGCACGCCGTGTGTAACTCCGTGCCTTACAAGTTTACGAACACGCCCGTTTTCTTTTAGTGATTGCATCGTCTGGGCGAGGGAGGAGGGACGAAGGGAGGGAAGGGAGGAGGGTTGTGATGGGCATGGAAGACTGCGATGGGAGGGAATGAGGGATTGATCAAGGTGAAGGAATGAGGGATTGAAGGAGGTGAGAGAATTAGGGATTGAAGGAGGTGAGAGAATTAGGGATTGAAGGAGGGGGAGCGAGAGGGGGCGGCCCTCTAGCCGAGGTAGCAAACGGGCCCCAGCTGGAAGCCAAACTGCTGCCCAGGACCTCCGAGGTCTCCGGGCATGAGGTCCGCGATGGGCAGCTGCTCCACGTGGGGGGTGGAGACCTCCAGCACCGTGCGGCCCTCGCCCTTCCGCTCCTACGGCGCACGGGCGGCGCACACGGCAACGCCACAACCATCACGGCAACGCCACAACCATCACGGCACCATCACGCGGCACGCCACAACAATCACGGCAACGCCACAACCATCACGGCACCATCACGCGGCACGCCACAACCATCACGGCACCATCACACGGCACGCCACCACCATCACGGCACCATCACGCGGCACGCCACAACCATCACGGCACGCCACAACCATCACGGCACCATCACGCGGCACGCCACAACCATCACGGCACCATGACATGGCACGCCACAACCATCACGGCACCATCACGCGGCACGCCACAACCATCACGGCACCATCACACGGCACGCCACCACCATCACGGCACCATCACGCGGCACGCCACAACCATCACGGCACGCCACAACCATCACGGCACCATCACGCGGCACGCCACAACCATCACGGCACCATGACATGGCACGCCACAACCATCACGGCACCATCACACGGCACGCCACCACCATCACGGCACCATCACACGGCACGCCACAACCATCACGGCACCATCACACGGCACGCCACAACCATCACGGCACCATCACACGGCACGCCACCACCATCACGGCACCATCACACGGCACGCCACCACCATCACGGCACCATCACACGGCACGCCACAACCATCACGGCACCATCACACGGCACGCCACAACCATCACGGCACCATCACACGGCACGCCACCACCATCACGGCACCATCACACGGCAAGCCACAACCATCACGGCACCATCACGCGGCACGCCACAACCATCACGGCACCATCACATGGCACGCCACAACCATCACGGCACCATGACATGGCACGCCACAACCAAGATGGCACCATCTCGCGGCATGCCACAACCATCGTGACGCCATCACGGCATGCCACACCATCACCACATCATCACCACACCATCACCACATCATCACCAGACACCACACCATCACCACACCATCATCACACCATCACGACACACCACACCATCACCATACCATCACGACAGACCACACCATCACGGCACCATCACATGGCACTATCACATGGCACGCCACAACCATCACGGCACCATCACACGGCACCATCACGACAAACCACACCATCACGGCACCATCACACCATCACGACAAGTCCCAACATGGAGCGGTCAGGTAAGGGATGACTGAGTGTCTGTCCAGGAACCTCCAAGTGTCACCCGTTGCACGTGACGTGTGCGCTATCGCTGGCTACTTTGCATCTACCCCTCCAACATTTCAAACAAAGACAAAGATCCCCCGTGTAGCCTGTAACAGACTGTTGGGGCAAGTGCTGTTAGCGAGCACCTACGAAGGCCGGCACGGCACACGAGGGGTTGGGTGGCAAGCACCACGCCCGGCCGCCTTTGTCTCCCCGGTGGCGATGTTTACACACCCCATCAGCTATTCATTTGAGGCTGAGTCGACCTAGGGGAGTGAGGCTCAGGACCGGTTCAGATAATCGTCACTGGGTGTTGGCCGTGAGCGGGGAATGGATCTCGCGTCACCGGGCTCGTAGCGCGGCCTAGCGCCAACCGCCACTACACATGTCAAGCACACACACACACAACATGTCAAACACACACACACGCAACATGTCAAACATACACACGCAACATGTCAAACACACACACACGCAACATGTCAAACACACACACACGCAACATGTCAAGCACACACACACGCAACAAGTCAAGAATACACACACGCAACATGTCAAACATACACACACGCAACATGTCAAACACACACACACGCAACATGTCAAACACACACACACGCAACATGTCAAATACACAAACACGCAACATGTCAAGAATACACACACGCAACATGTCAAACACACAAACACAACATGTCAAACACACACACACGCAACATGTCAAACACACAAACACACACACACAACATGTCAAACACACAAACACACGCACACGCAACATGTCAAACACACAAACACGCAACATGTCAAACACACAAACACGCGCACACGCAACAAGACAAACACACAAACACACACACACACAACATGTCAAACACACAAACACACGCACACGCAACATGTCAAACACACAAACACGCAACATGTCAAACACACAAACACGCAACATGTCAAACACACACACACGCAACATGTCAAACATACACACACGCAACATGTCACACACACACACATGCAACATGTCAAACACACACACACGCAACATGTCAAACACACAAACACGCAACATGTCAAACACACACACGCAACATGTCAAACACACACACGCAACATGTCAAACACACACACACGCAACATGTCAAACACACGCACACGCAACATGTCAAACACACACACACGCAACATGTCAAACACACACACACGCAACATGTCAAACACACACACGCAACATGTCAAACACACACACGCAACATGTCAAACACACACACACGCAACATGTCAAACACACACACACGCAACATGTCAAACACACACACACGCAACATGTCAAACACACACACACGCAACATGTCAAACACACACACACGCAACATGTCAAACACACACACACGCAACATGTCAAACACACACATGCAACATTACAAACATACACACACGCAACATGTCAAACATACACACACGCAACATGTCAAACACACACACACGCAACATGTCAAACACACACACATGCAACAATACAAACACACACACACACAAAATGTCAAACATACACACGTGCAACATGTCAAACACACGCAACATGTCAAACACACGCAACATGTCAAACACACCACGCGCGAGCCACCTGTCAAACAATTTCAACCGCCCAACCGTCCCGACACACGATCGCCGCGAAAGCGAGGGAAGGGGGACGGACGGGAGGGTCCGACTCACCGAGCACCCGTCGTGCAGCGCCCGCACGTAGGGGCTCGCGTCGTGCGAGATCTCCTCGTCGTTGGCCGCGAGCATCCGCACGGAGCGAGCGTGCGGAGAGCCGGCCCCGCCGTGCGCGTCCACCCACGCCACGGCGTCTCGGCACAGGTAGGTGACGTTCTGCCGGGCGGACGAGCTGAGCAGCCGCAGGAACGTCATCTGCACCGCGCCTACGGGCCTGCCGTCCAGGTCCACGTAGGAGAGCTAAAGGGGGGGGTGGCGGGCGGGGGGAGAGGGTTGTCATCGTCGTCACGGTGGCGGTGGCTACGCCGTGTCGCGCGTGCGGTGTACGTGTGGACGTTCAACTTAATTTGCTCCAACCATACTGATCGGAGGTGGAGTGTTGAGTCTATGGGTAGTGTTAGTCTATGGGCAGTGTTGAGTCTAGGGGTAGAGTTGAGTCTATGGGTAGTGTTGAGTCTATGGGAGTGTTGAGTCTATGGGCAGTGTTGAGTCTATGGGTAGAGTTGAGTCTATGGGTAGTGTTGAGTCTATGGGCAGTGTTGAGTCTATGGGCAGTGTTGAGTCTATGGGTAGTGTTGAGTCTATGGGTAGTGTTGAGTCTATGGGTAGTGTTAGTCTATGGGCAGTGTTGAGTCTATGGGTAGAGTTGAGTCTATGGGTAGTGTTGAGTCTATGGGCAGTGTTGAGTCTATGGGCAGTGTTGAGGTCTATGGGTAGTGTTGAGTCTATGGGCAGTGTTGAGTCTATGAGCAGTGTTGAGTCTATGGGCAGTGTTGAGTCTATGGGCAGTGTTAGTCTATGGTGCAGTGTTGAGTCTATGGGCAGTGTTGAGTCTATTGGCAGTGTTGAGTCTATGGTGCAGTGTGAGTCTATGAGCAGTGTTGAGTCTATGGGCAGTGTTGAGTCTATTGGCAGTGTTGAGTCTATGGGCAGTGTTGAGTCTATGGCAGTGTTGAGTCTATGGGCAGTGTTGAGTCTATGGCAGTGTTGAGTCTATGGGCAGTGGAGTCTATGGGCAGTGTTGAGTCTATGGCATGTGTTGAGTCTATGGGCAGTGTTGAGTCTATGGGTAGTGTTAGTCTATGGGCAGTGTTGAGTCTATGGGCAGTGTTGAGTCTATGGGCAGTGTTGAGTCTATGGGCAGTGTTGAGTCTATGGGTAGTGTTGAGTCTATGGGCAGTGTTGAGTCTATGGGCAGTGTTGAGTCTATGGGCAGTGTTGAGTCTATGGGCAGTGTTGAGTCTATGGGTAGTGTTGAGTCTATGGGCAGTGTTGAGTCTATGGGCAGTGTTGAGTCTATGGGCAGTGTTGAGTCTATGGGCAGTGTTGAGTCTATGGGCAGTGTTGAGTCTATGGGCAGTGTTGAGTCTATGGGCAGTGTTGAGTCTATGGGCAGTGTTGAGTCTATGGGGTGTTTAGTCTATGGGCAGTGTGGAGTCTATGGGCGTGTTGAGTCTATGGGCAGTGTTGAGTCTATGGGCAGTGTTGAGTCTATGGGTAGTGTTGAGTCTATGGGCAGTGTTGAGTCTATGGGCAGTGTTGAGTCTATGGGCAGTGTTGAGTCTATGGGCAGTGTTGAGTCTATGGGTAGTGTTGAGTCTATGGGCAGTGTGGAGTCTATGGTCAGTGTTGAGTCTATGGGCAGTGTTGAGTCTATGGCAGTGTTGAGTCTATGGGTAGTGTGGAGTCTATGGGCATGTTGAGTCTATGGGCAGTGTTGAGTCTATGGGTAGTGTTGAGTCTATGGGCAGTGTTGAGTCTATGGGGCAGTGTTGAGTCTATGGGCAGTGTTGAGTCTATGGGCAGTGTTGAGTCTATGGGCAGTGTTGAGTCTATGGCAGTGTTGAGTCTATGGGCAGTGTTGAGTCTATGGGCAGTGTTGAGTCTATGGGTGGCAGTGTTGAGTCTATGGACAGTGTTGAGTCTATGGGCAGTGTTGAGTCTATGGGTGGCAGTGCTGAGTCTATGGCAGTGTTGAGTCTATGGGTGGCAGTGTTGAGTCTATGGGCAGTGTTGAGTCTATGGGCAGTGTTGAGTCTATGGGCAGTGTTGAGTCTATGGGCAGTGTGAGTCTATGGGCAGTGTTAAGTCTATGGGCAGTGTTGAGTCTATGGGCAGTGTTGAGTCTATGGGCTAGTGTTGAGTCTATGGGCAGTGTTGAGTCTATGGCAGTGTTGAGTCTATGGTAGTGTTTGAGTCTATGGGCAGTGTTAGTCTATGAGCAGTGTTGAGTCGATGGGTAGTGTTGAGTCTATGGGCAGTGTTGAGTCGATGGGTAGTGTTGAGTCTATGGGCAGTGTTGAGTCTATGGGGAGTGTGAGTCTATGGGCAGTGTTGAGTCTATGGGCAGTGTTGAGTCTATGGGCAGTGTTGAGTCTATGGGCAGTGTTGAGTCTATGGGCAGTGTTGAGTCTATGGGCAGTGTTGAGTCTATGGGCCGTGTTGAGTCTATGGGCAGTGTGAGTCTATTGGCTGTACGTATGTACGTAGAACTTCTTTCGCACCGTACGTAGTCAACTGTGCTAATCGGGGGTGTACAGCGGGGGGGGGGGGGGTGAAGGACAACAGGGTGCACGGTGGCAGTACGGCCAGCACCACGCCCGGCCGCCTTTGTCTCCCTAGAGGCGATGCGTGCACACCGCACATCAGCCACTGAGTTGAGGCTGAGTCGACCTAGGGGGGTGCTGGCCGCGTCCCTACCACCGCGCCTCCATCGATCCGCGCGGGGTCTGTGCAGCCATCGGGACGGAGGGGGCGGTGGCGAGTGGATGGGCGAGCTAGAAGGCCTAATTAATTTTTCCTTCATTTCCGTTAATGGGGATGTGTGTGTTGGGGGGGGGGCTAATTAGGATTGATTTTGACTCCACGACCTCATAACCCCCCCCCTCTCTCCTCTGTACCGACACCTCCCGACGCTGACCACCGCCACCGTAATTGGTTATCGACCGCCAGAGAAGCGACGTGCACGCGACGTAATTGGTCGCGACCGGCGGGTACCCGGAGCAGAGAGAGGGAGACGAGGATGAGAGGCGTGGGGGCATGGTGGTGGCGCTGCTTGCCGTGCCTCCGCCGTGGTCAATTGATCAACAAATCGATGGTGGGGGGGAGGGAGGGTGGGAGTGGGGGAGGAGAGGCGGTGGTGGTGGTGGGGGGCGTCAGCTCGTTAGCGAGGCGGTAATTGAGCGATACGGACGCATTAGCCGTGATGTTTGCCGATAACTCTTCAGCGCACGGCAACCAAAATCTGTGCGTGTGGGGGACGGCGGGGGGTGCAGCAAAGGCCCCCTTGCCCACGAATAAAGGGACACCCCAAATTAGAACTTGAGAGTTATTTCGTGCTGTCATTGGTGACCGTGCTGAAACCATCAATGCACTCGACTTAAGAACCTGGTGTAACAGGCTAAAATAACCACCTTCCCTGATTAAACCTGGGTATAGTTTGGCCCAGGCCAGAGTATACACGGGGAGATAGAGTGTCCTAGGCTAAACTATACCCGGGAGTTTAAACTAGTCTGGTCCAGACCATACCCCTCTAGGCCAGAATATGCCCCATGTGAAAGTTCAAAGGCAATTATCCACACAGAGAACAGCCGACAACGAACTTCAATCGATATCTAAAAAGCGTATAAATGGAAGCAAGAATCTCAATTTGATCAATTGGAGCATTTTAAGGTTTAGGGTTATTATTAAAGTTTTTTTTCTGGTTGAAGCAATCAAATTCTATGTGTTTCCAGTTTTAAATAAAATGTTGGGAAAATGTAGTAATTCATGTGTATATCGCTCAACACTATTACTGGGGCTATGATTTGGCCTATAGGGGCATAATTTGGCCGAGGCCGTAATATATCCGGGTATAATCTAGCCTAGGCCGTTTTAACCCCGGGTATACTATGGCCTGTGGGTTAACTCCGGCCTGTTACACCGGTTTAATCACAACTCGGTCTGTGCGAGTCTATGGGTCTCTCTGTGAGTCCATGGATCTATGTGTGAGTCTAGGGGTCTCTGTGTGAGGAGTCTTTGGGTCTCTGCGTGAGGAGTCTTTGGGTCTCTGTGTGAGTATATAGGTCTCTGTGTGAGAAGTCTATGGGTCTCTCTGTGAGAAGTCTTTGGGTCTCTGTGTGAGTCTGTGGATCTTCATGTGAGCCTATGGGTCTCTGTGTGAGTCTATGGGTCTCTGTGTGAGTCTATGGGTTTCTATATGAGTCTATGGGTCTCTGTGTGAGTCTATGGGTCTCTGTGTAAGTCTATGGGTCTCTGTGTGAGTCTATGGGTCTCTGCGTGAGTCTATGGGTCTCTGTGAATCTACGGATCTGTGTGAGGTGTCTATGGGTCTCTCTGTGAGTCCATGGATCTATGTGTGAGTCTAGGGGTCTCTGTGTGAGTATATAGGTCTCTGTGTGAGAAGTCTATGGGTCTCTCTGTGAGAAGTCTTTGGGTCTCTGTGTGAGTCTGTGGATCTCCATGTGAGCCTATGGGTCTCTGTGTGAGTCTATGGGTTTTTATGTGAGTTTATGGGCCTCTGTGTGAGTCTGTGGATCTTCATGTGAGCCTATGGGTCTCTGTGTGAGTCTATGGGTCTCTGTGTGAGTCTATAGGTTTCTATATGAGTCTATGGGTCTCTGTGTGAGTCTATGGGTCTCTGTGTAAGTCTATGGGTCTCTGTGTGAGTCTATGGGTCTCTGTGTAAGTCTATGGGTCTCTGTGTGAAGAGTCTATGCGTCTCTGTGTGAGGAGTATATGGGTCTCTGTGTGAGTCTATGGGTCTCTGTGTAAGTCTATGGGTCTCTGTGTGAAGAGTCTATGCGTCTCTGTGTGAGGAGTATATGGGTCTCTGTGTGAGTCTATGGGTATCTGTGTGACGAGTCTATGGGTCTCTGTGTGAGGAGTCTTTGGGTCTCTGCGTGAGGAGTCTTTGGGTCTCTGTGTGAGGAGTCTATGGGTCTCTCTCTCTCTGTGGAAGGAGTCTATGGGTCTCTGTGTGAGGAGTCTATGGGTCTCTCTCTCTCTCTCTGTGTGAGGAGTCTATGGGTCTTTGTGTGAGGAGTCTATGGGTCTCTGTGTGAGGAGTGTATGGGTCTCTGTGTGAGGAGTCTATGGGTTTCTGTGTGAGGAGTCTATGGGTCTCTGTGTGAGGAGTCGTTGGGTCTCTGCGTGAGGAGTCTATGGGTCTCTGTGTGAGGAGTCTATGGGTCTCTGTGTGAGGAGTCGTTGGGTCTCTGCGTGAGGAGTCTATGGGTCTC